TGACAGACTCCTTCAAAGAGAACTCCTATGAGGAAGAGCCTGCAGTATTAGAAAGCGAAATGAAAGCTGCTCTGAAAGCACTTGGAAGGGAGTGCTGGAGTGGAGTAGATGCAGTACCCGGAGTAAATTATTCCAAGCTGCAGAGATTGAATCAGTCCAAATCCTAAGAAGAACATGCCAACAAATACGGAAAACAAAACAGTAACCCACAGACTGAAAATATTCAATATACATTCCATCACCAAGAAGGGGGAGTGCTAAGAGTTGCAACAACTATAGGATCATTACACTAATTTACCAAACAAGCAAAGTGATGCTCAGAGTATTTCAACAAAATATCTCACCCTGTATGAGCAAGAAATGTGCATGTTGGATTCCAAAAATGAAGAAGCACTTATCTTGAAAGCAACAATAAGTAAAAGATAAAACTGAATCTGTCACACTTTGAACTCATCATCAAAAGGCAGGACTCACTGGAGAAGATATAACTGCTAGGAAAGTTGAAGCAAGAAGAAAAGGAAATCCATGTACAAGGCAGACTGATTTCAAAAAGGAAGCCACAGTCTTGAGTTCATAAGATCTGCACAGGACTGTCAAGGACAGGATATTTTGGAGGGCATTCATTCATTAGGTCACCAGAAGTCAGATATCTAATAACTGGATGATAAGCACAGTTTTCAAGGCTGGAACTGACAGTGTAACAGGTAGCTAGCCCCCAGTGCTGTTTGCTACTGAACAGGAAAAATGAAACAGACCTGCTTATTTTCAATCTTCAATGTTTGAAATCATTGGAGTACCTCATATCACAAAATTGGCTTAATAATCATGAATAAGTGTGTAAAATTTGGCCCTGGGCCTTAGTAAATATTGCATTAACTTTCCCCAAGAATGTTCCACAGTCAGTAAATTACAGAAACCTTTTAGTAAACCCTTCTGTTAATCACTTTCTAAGAAAAAAATGTCCCTCTAGTTCAACCAAATACTAGCTAACTCTCAAGCAATTACATCTACCATTATGCTGACTGAAAAGCTGTTTTCTGGTAACCAGATTCAAGCATGGAAGCCCTCAGAGTTCAGCAACATTCCTGTCTCACCCACAATGAAGCCAAATGCTTTCATCAAGAGACAAGATGTCCATGTCACTCAGCAGGAAATATGTGATAGCTAACCAGTCATCCCAGCAGGATATCTAAGAAGGAGAACTCCTTAATAGTGAGTACAAGGACCACCGAGTTTCTAGTGGATTCTTTGGATCAAAAATGATGTCATGCTGGAACAGATTCAATAATTCTTCCAATGAAGCATTCTGCCTTCCAACAATAAACAGATGTATGCCACAGAGAAGTTCACTAGTAGAGGTAAATGACACCATTCCATCTGTCCCACATGTGACACATATCTATCTCTACAATGCTCTACAGCACTGACTATTTTAAGTTAATGATGTATTGTGTAAAGCAATACTTCCTTTTGTTTTGTTTGTCTGATGTTCCTTATCATGCCTAGAGAACTAGGAACACTGACTCATGGACAGAATTGTCAGTTTATTTTTGTGTAGTAGTGAGTTTTTCTACATCAAGGCTGAGGTTCAGGACTCAAATGTAGGAATGGTTATAAGAATGGTTATAAGAGGGGAAAAAAGGAAAAGATAAATGGCCACAGGCTAATATGAGTCAGCTTCCCTGAAAATACTTTTACTGCTTCTAAGGATTTGACAGGTTCTACTGTATTACTGCATATTAGGCAACGAGGTTGTGAGGACTTTGAAGAGGTGAAAGAGAAGCTACCATACATCCCCATCTCTCCCTAGTCTTTGAGTAGGATCTTTGTGCTTGATCCTTGACACTAAGTTATTGAGAATGTAGAATGAACTTTGGTTACTCCTGGTTATCAGATAAGACAAGCAAATAGCCAGTGGAGATAAAGGAGATACTACCTGTGATAGAAACTGTATTTCCTACTCTTTGTCTTTCCCTCACATTATATAGATACTAGCCAATTTAGAACAGGCATGGCTTCCAATACTTAAAGAGTGGCTAGTTTCAGATTTCTCTGAATGTCCAGGCTATTCCTCTCAGATTAAAGTATCACCCAAAACTTGATGAGATCAGCAGGACCATCCCCTGAGTGTCATTCTGCAGGTGGATAATTTATCTCTATATAAAGGATGTCAGAGAAATCCACAACAGACTCAAATGAGTCTGAATATCTCGGAGTCCAAATAAATATATTTTAAAATCTAACTGAATTAACATTTTCTTCAAAAGGAAGACATCAATTCAGCAACTGATGTACATAGGCATACCACCTCTGATGAAAGGAGTTAGCACATAGTCAACAAGACTAGTAGCCTTCTTCTCCATAAATTTATTCAACCCCCCTTTAAAGCAATCCAAATTGATGGTCATAACTACTTCCAGAGACAGTGAATTCCATAGTTTAACTGTGGGCTATATGAAGAGCACTTCCTGTTAACCATCCTGAATCTTCAAACAATCATATTCATTGGATGATCTCCAATTCTACCCACCATGCATAATTTTAAACACCTCTTTCATGTCTTCCCTTACTCAGTTTTTCTAAGCTAAAAAAATCCCAGTTGTAACGGTTTCCCTTAAGGGAGATGCTCCAAACCCTTCATCATTTTAGCTGCACTTTTCTGTACTCAATAGTGTCATTGTACAGGTGTGGTGACCAGAACTGTACACAATATTCTAAATGAGGTCATATCAAAGATTTCTAAAAGGGGAATGCTGTCCTGACTGTTTTATTTTCAATTCTTTTCCTAATTATGCCTAACATGGAGTTTGCCTTTCATCAGATATGCTCTGGGTCAACAATGAGCCACAATCTCCAAGATCCCTTTCTTGATTGTCACTGCTAGCCCAGCTCCCCTCTGCCTATAAATTGGAATCCCCCTGCCCCCAATATGCATTACTTTATTGAACTGCAATTGACTTTTTGGGGTCCATTCTCTCCGCTTGCAGAGTTCCCTCTGAAACTCCTCACAACTGCCTTTATCTTTAACCTCCCTAAATACTTTGGTGTTTCAGCAAACTTAGCCACTTCATGGCTTACTCCTAATTCTAGATCATTTATGAATAGGTTGAAAAGCACTGGTCCTAATACAGAACACTGTGGGACTCAACATCCCTCCACTGGCAGAAATTATCATTTATTCCCACTTTCTGCTTTCTGTTCTTTAACAAGTCACTGATCCCTAAGAGGATCCTGTCCCACCCACCACACACATCTTATTCCATTACAGCTAACTATGCTCAGGAATCTTTGGTGAGGGACTATGTCAAAAGCCTTTTGAAAGTCCAATTAAATAATGCCTACCAGACTGCCCCATCCACATGCTTAATGACACTCTCAAAAAAAAACTCTAATGGGTTCATGAGAAAAAAGTTAAGTTTGCAGAAGTCATGCTGATTTTTTTCAGCAGGTCTTGTCCCTCCATGTGCTTACCACATCTTTCTTTAATCATTCTTTCAACCAATTTACCCAGAACAGATATAAAGCCAACCAGTCAGTAATTTTCTGCCTCCACCAGAATCCCTTTTTAATCCTCTGGTATTGAGGCTGTTTTTAGGAATGTATTACATAATTCTTGTAAACAATTTCATATTTGAGCCTAACCTCTAGATGGATGCCTTCTGGATCTAGTGAACTCTCAGTTTGTCCGTAAGGTTGAGAATGTACTCTTTTGTCACTACTGTTTGCCTTAATTCTCAGACTCACTTCCCGCAGATATTAAGTTCAGGAAAAGGAGTATGTTCTGTATCCTCAGCTGTGAAGACAAGATTAATTCAGCTTCTCACTTTATCCTCCTTTAGTGTTCCTTTCATTCCTATTAGTTTTCAGGTCCTATTTAATGCCACAAGTAAAGAAGCCAAGCAAATGCTAACTTGAAATAGTTCCCCAACAGTGGGTCCACAACCAAGAAGGTCCTGTCTTATGTGCTCATCAATTTAATTTTACAGTGGACGGGGTTATTTGGAATATTTATATACTATCATCCTACTGTGGCTGTCATTACATCCAAGGGTTATATGACTATTTCAGCAAATATTCAGCTAAATTATAGTATCTGAAAAATACAGTAAAAGCCATAACTGCAATGTTAACGACTAACCATATCAACTATATGCATATATATTTGTTTTTGATAACCCCAGACCAAGATCAAGCCTCATTATTTAAGTATTTATACTGAGACTGTTGAAACCAGAGTACTTTTTGAATCTGTATTCCTAATTCAAACTTCTTTAATGAGCTCTTGTAAACAACCACAAAGACTTTAGATGATTAGGCAATTTTCTTATTTATGCTGTCTGTCACTTTGTAAGGGTAGCAATCAGTGCAGTCATAGTTGTATAGGTAGTCCAAAGTATCACCTCAACATTCTTCATGATAACAACTGCTCAAAGGACTGTGGGGATTATTTTCAATTTTTCCTTTTCTAAGAGCAGCCAGTTAATAGCCCCTGCTCTTAACATCTTCCAGGGAAAGGACATTATACAATTTCTATATGGAGTTGAAGTCTGGAGTTGAAATAAGTAAGTGCTTGCCCAGCTGGTAGTCCACAATAAATTTGTAAAGATTTTTTTATATTTTCCTTAAGCAATTCTTGCTGCCCATTCTAAGGACAGAGGCAAGCTTACCTTCAGTCACTATAAAGGCCCATCTGATATTGTTTAAATATTTAAAAGAACATGACATTGAGAAAAAATCCAGTTAAATCTAGCTGTTTGCAACATTGGGCAGGAAACTGGTGGGTGGTTACAAGGTACCTAATCGTTTAAAGGACTCTTTGCCTCCTTTAAATGAAGTATTGGAATTTAAACAGATTTAAGTCCAGCAAGGGAGGCTAGTTGAGATATTTCTCTTGTCCAACTTCTCAAATTCTCTTTGTTGTACCCCTTTCTGAAGAAAAATAATTTAATTTCAAGATGCTTTTACCAGCACTCCATTAAAGAAGTCATTCATCAGCTTACATGTTCAAACCATGCCTTCAGCATTTCTTGAGGAGAAATATTCTAAAATCCCTGTGGAACAGCTCCTCTGTCCCTGTAAGAAGGGATAGATGGAAAATTTTAATGCATTATTTTCTATATTATTATGATACTATACGAAAGAGATTGGTAGGGCAGATTGGAAATATTTTTAGGATTCAGAAGCAGAAAGTTTCAAGATTTTGCTGACAAATATATTTCTTCATGCTAGTTTCTCTCATGGCCATTTTACTATGTTATATTTACCTATTAATTCTGTTATTTATCTGGCCAAATTGTGATTTAGACTGATTCTAGTATTTTATTCACCCACCAGGTCTGTAACTGATGGCTTGTATCCACATGACTTAGCATGCAATTTTTGGACTTTGGTTTTGCTATGACTTGTGGCTACAACAAAATTTCACCTGTGTGATTTAAGTACTATATGATGAAGCATACAGACACATGAATAGTGCTATATGATGAAGCATAGAGACACATACAGCTGCCACTTAAGAAAGGGGATGTAAACTATTATGTTTTATTGTTGCTTTCAAAAACAGAAGTGACAGGATGTGGTAAATTTCCTATATTTAGGTAGATATCAATCAGAGGCTTGAAAGGCTATATGTTACAGACTAATGGGAAATGGCATATAAAGAAAGAAGGGATGTGAATTGAAGCATTGAAATTCATTCAGCTCCCACAGAAACAATATTCTAATGATGCATAAATCTCTATTTGTCTCTTACATTTTAAAATATGAAAATTAAGGCCACAGCACTACTCTTGATCATATCAATAGGCAAGCTACACAACCACCATATTTTGAACCTGTATTTACTAGTAGATTTAGTTCTCTGATGACTACCTGTGATTAGGAATGGAGAAGAAATTCAAAAATGGAGGGCGTGTGTGCGTGTTTCAGAACCTCCCTTAGCTCAGAAATCTCAAAGTGTTCAAGCCCAGTCCTACCCCACCCTCCCCAAATTTCACTTTTGTTTGTAATGGCTCTGCACCAGTTCTACCAGTTTTTTTTTCACTTTCATACACTTCTCTGAATTCACTATATTGCAAGGGTATGGAAGAAAAATCACAACCAAGGGTAAAAGTGAAAGTCTGCTTATAAGCTGTTCATATATTCTAAGCTGTTTCTGCTGATACGAATTCTTGGAAGTGTGGGTGCTATTTTTTATTCTTCCTGACTCACTGACCAGTTCTTAGAGTTAAGCAAGGAATCCATTTTTAAGCAGCTTCCCTCCAAGACTTCAGTTCCTGCTTCACTGAGTTTGGGAGCTATTGTTTTCATTTTAGGAGGAATAAAAAGCTACAATTTTCAAAGACAACAGTTTATAATTGAAAGAGTCAATGTAGTGAGCTAAATTTTGGGACTAATCTCCAACTTTTCCAAACCCTCACAGTTACTACTTTCCTCTTCTTCTTCCTATCCACATGTTGTATTCTGGAAAGAGGAGAAAGGAGGAAACTAACAAATGTTAGGGCTTCCAATAGAAAAGGAACTTTCCTGGGGTGAATTTTTCTAAACCTTTTCAAAGTTGCTGGGAGAATGTGTGAGCTTTTTCTGAGATTTCTACAAAAGGCTTAGAAAGATACAACACATTCCAAATAGAGATGGGTAAGCTTTACCATTACTACTATTGGGTTGTTTTCCTCTGTAAAATTATTTCATTTTCCCAAAGAAGTCATTTTATTAAAAAGTTTATTTTTATTACTGTAAATATATATTTCAATTTGTAGATCATACATATTGCTTTTTGGACAACTAATAAAAACAAAAATGAAAAAGAAACCTCTGGATCCAGCAGTTATGAGTAAAACACATCCTTGAGTAAACCTTACCACAAGCAATACTGCATTTACTAAAGAAACAAATTCAAACTCTCTTTTTGTTTTTATCAGGATAAAAATCTGAATGTGAGGACAGAAGTTTTAGCAGATGCTTGACACTGCATCAGTAGAATGTACGTTTGAGTACATACGTGTAAGCTTGCATTGTCATCATACTTAATCTTCCTGTGGTAGGAATTTTAGTATTAATCCTATATGGACATAAACAAAGTTCTTTCTCTATTTAATCCAATTCTTCTTAAAATAAAAATGGACTGTGTCCAGATTTAGATATGTACAACTGGGCTGACAGAAGCAAACATCCCCACTCCCTTCTCTCCCATGGTACTACTTTATCTTCCCAAAATTGCTACACAGAGGGGAAGAGTTCTGCTGATGATAGGTGCCTCTACTTGACTTTGAGGAAATTCCCCCTCCCTGCCCAGGCTATAGCTCTCTCCATTCAGCTAATGTTATACCTCTCCCCATTCCTTACTTTCTGCATAGCATTTTCAAGAAGGTAAGCTAATGTGGGGAGGAAAGGAGGGAAAGCTTGCTTCTTCCTTGTACCACACACCTAAATCTGGATACAACTCAATCTGTTTAATTATACAGGAGAATGAGGATGCTACTATGGTAATCAATCTTTTCTAGAGAGTTAGAAGAAAAATCACTGCTTATACTTGCAAATGAGGACTGCCAAGTATGTTCTGTACACTGTAAGCTCTCTAATGCATATAATATTTGCTGCAATCTGGCATGAGACTGTGAATTCTGCAGTGGTCTACTGAAGCAAATCTGGTGAATTCTGGGGGTGGGGGGAGGGGTGAAATATGGGCAGAAACTGAACTAACAGTACATGAAGCTAGTTGCCACTCTGGCCGGATGATTTAAAGACACCTGAAACAACACTGTGAGCATGAAAGAGGAAGGCTCAACATCAGACAAACATATCCTACATGATGCATTGCCATTGTTCAACCCCTTGCTAAAGGTGCCAGAAGGAGTAGAAGAGAAGACATGGGCAGGATACAAGACTGATTGTAACAATAAGACAACAGCAATGAATGACACAAGGCTCATTCAGGTGCCAAAGCACAGAGCCCTGAAAAGAGGTGAACACTCCAGGCCCCAGCATCACAAAAGGCATCTTGCTAAGGATCTCATTGTGGCAATCTGCTTGCTCTTTTAAACTGCCTAAAATCTGGTAAGCCCCTCAGAGATGTAGAGGAGAAGCATACTATGAATATGCTTAGTACTGCAAGGAAACTTTAAAATTATAAAAGCTAATAATAAACCTGAAACCTAGGAAACTTTGTTTTTGGAAGGAAAGCTCTCATAGTTACATTCAAACTTTAACTACTGCCATCTGCTAATTAGTTTATCTAGCCTCTTCCAATCTTCTTCCTGTATTTCAGTTTGTTCTGGATACACAAAGATGCATGATGCATCAGACTTAGCTTTTGTATTTCAACAAGCACAGATTATGCTTCCCCCCTACACACACATTTGAAGTGAGCAATGTCAAAAAGACATCAGAGAACTGAAAAGCAGGAAATTCTAATTGATATACATATGGAAGTTGCAATATGGAATGCATCTTATGTAGATCAATGGACCAAAGACTCACTGAGGCCACACCATGCCTTATTCTTGTGTCCAGTGTCAACCTGCACTGTTCTGTAATCTGAAGCAGCATGGATGTGGGTATGCACCAAGCAGGAGGGGAAAAGAAAGCAAGATCTGCTTCTTATCATAGTTCACCCTGGGTTGGGCACCAGCTTACCTTTTCCTCTTCTGAGAATGTCCTGAGAGGAAAGAAGATATGCGAACATACCTAAAGATTTGTCAGTTTGGAAAAAAGTTGGGGGAAAAAAATTTCTTCCCACAATTTCCAAACACCCCTGGAAAAGTGGAAGGCAGTTGTTGTTGAAATCAATTGCTCCCCCTTGCTGCACACACACTTTTACTGGATTCCTCCCACCCCCAGGCCTTCATAGCTCTTTATATTTGTTCCACACAGGGCTTTGTGCACTAATCTGGAAGAAAGGAAAGATAACAGTATTTAAGGCTACAAAAAAGCAGCCCAGGTACAGTTCTCATATAATGCAGACTCCATGCAATATTTTTTTAAAAAATGTAATAGTGACTGTGTGTGAAAGCAGCTCTATCCCCATTCACCTAGAAGTAATCTTAATTTAATTTTGATTAGTCTATGTCTGTTTGCACTTCTTAAGTATGATTTAATTTGGGGATGGTGAGAAAGTATTGTACAACTAACAAAATATTTGAACTAGTAAATACTTGGTATACCATCTCAGAATAATATCACAAAGCAAGTTACTACTCTGATAGGTCAATGATGTTTGACAACATTCTAGTGGAGTATGAGAGGGCAAGTAAATTGACACTGCAATTTTTTATTTCAGCGAATCCTTTTACATTTCTATGTTTATTACATTTACAAAGTAAATATTGCAGTATTATGAAATACGTATACAGACTCATAATAACAGCTAATACATGTTATAGTTAACCAGCTTTACAGCTAAGATCAAAATATTACAGATAGCAAAAGTAAAAGCAAGTTAATGAGTCTCACAGTACAACACAGCATGAGGAAAAGGAATGACAACATCAGACAACATCAGACTCACTAAATGGTTGTGGTACCTTTGGAGTCCAGTAGTTAATCATAGAGCACTTGGTGCTTTATCATTTCTGAAACTAAGCTGCTGTGGACCTGAACAGTGCCTGGATAGAAGACTACTGGGAAGTATATGTAAGCTGATCTGGGCTTTCTGACAGAAAAGTGGGTCATGCCCATAATAAATATAAGCAATGCATTATACAGGGTAGCAATATTGGCACATAAACTATACAACAATTGTGACCAAGCCATGTGACTAAGTATTAGATTGAAGCAGTTTCAGGTGCAAGTTGGAAGAGCAAATACTATCTTTGATTAAAATGTCAACTTCAAGGTTTAAGTTCCAACCTATTCTTTGCAAATAAGACATTTCGACCCATAACTGAAAGCTATAACTTAAGATCCAAAGCTACAACAGAATCACTATATACACATTTAAAGCAACTAGGTACACTTAAAAGAGACTGAATATGAAATTATTAATTCAAAGAGTGTTTGCATGTGTTACCAACCAGAGCAAGAATTCACCCCGATTTTTACAATAAACTGATCTGTACCTAAACATGGTAAGACAGCTCAATGAATTTAACAAAACTTTTTCAACCTAAATTTGCTCAAGTTTTCAAATTAGAAACCCTAAACCCTATAAATCTCTATAACAGAATGAAAAGTCATATAATGAAGCATCCAGCCGCAACAAATGCTCACATTATATTACTGACCTCCATACCATGTAAAACAGACACCCTTGCAGGTGAGTTGAGAAATTAATGTTTGAGCCTTTGTGCTAAAAAGCAAGCAGGGAAGGGTCCTGATCGCAGCAAATGAATGAAGGAATGTGTGCACTTCCAAGTTGATCCAATGCCCTAGATCCGGTCATAAACAAGCGGCTCCAGAAAGGCGAGGGAACCCCCTCCCCGCCTGCATCATCAGTATTCAAATAAGGTTGACGGACGCTGAACAGCTACCATAAATAAGGGGGGGAAATCTATCTTCACATGATCTGATTTGGCAGACAGGGAAGGGAAATCTCAACACACCACACCACACGAGTTACTTTTGACAGGGACAAAACAACCGAGTATCCAGGATACACCATCCAACACCACGCACGCTTGGCGTGCTTGTGTCAACGGGGGACGCCACAACCGGAGAAGCGGAATGGGCGCTGCCACAGCAGCAGCCAACCTATTGCGCCGGGAACGGAAGGCCTTCACTGTCTTTGATCTCCGTTATGAAACGCCCAGGCTGTCCCGTCTCCGCTTCGCAACGCTGCCTGAGCGGCGAAGGCGGGAGTGGCCCGGAAGGGAAGGGAAGGAAAGGGCTCCCCTCCAGGGCCTGATTGGCGCCCAGCGGAGGGTCACACGAGGCCTTTTACGGGGGAAGGGGGTGAGCTGAGATCATAGATCTGCGCCAACCCGCCGTCGCGACCTCTTCCCAAAGTTTACCTCAGCAGCCAGCAAACCAGGAGGAGCTCCCCCCCGCCCCACTTCGCCAGACCCTCATGCCGGCAGCAGTAACCGCCCCCGGGCGCGCGCGGGTGCCCTTACTGTGCTTCGCATGCCTCAGTCTCCCCCGCGTTGTTCCTCAGCCTCTAGCCGCCGCCCACCACCACACGAGAGCATTCGCCCCCGCTTCTCAAGCAGCAGACGCAGCAACGGCAGCCGCCACCAGGCCTAGGGACTCTTCAGCTATCGCGCATGCGCTTCCCTCGCGCTTACCGGCAAAACAGCAGCAGTCTCCGCCGCCAAGCCCGGAGAAGCCTCTCCGGACTGCGCGTGCGCCTATGGTAAGAGACAAACTGCAGTGATAGCGACTGCTGAGCCGGCAAGGCCCCTGTGTTTCCCTGTTCACTATTAAGCATGCGCAGAAGCTTCATACTACAATACACAGAGCTGCGCGGATGGTGATTCCCTTTCCCCGTCAAGCGCCGGAGGGAAGGGGAGCCTGTTAAGCGCGTGCGCATTTCGGCGGCGTGTGTTGCGCCTGCGTCTGAAGAAGACCAGCTTTTGCTCTCTCTTCATGACCTCAGATTACCTCGTCTGAGTGCATTGGGGAGGGAGGGGCTTTGAAAGATGGGCGTGAGAAGGGAGGGACGGGCGTAAGAAAGGGTGGAGAGAGCTCTGTGCTGGATGTTTCTTCTTTCATCGCGGCTGCAGAGGGAGCAGAGGAGAATACCTGGCCTCGTGAGAGCGCGTTGAGTCATCGTGAGGGATTTCGAACTGCGGGGTCGGTCAGTCGTTTAGCGCTGGGAGATCAATCGGAATTGCTGCTGCTGCTGCTGCTACAGCACAGCAAGCCCGGCTGCCTGGTCACAACCCCACTCGAAGTACTGGGAGTTCCATCTGGGTAAACCAATCTGTTAGGGGGCGGGTTGCTTTTGATGGTGCTACGAGGACTCTTGGTGCAACGACTGACGAGGCTACTCTTCTGGAAGCTTGATACTTAGTAGGAGCCAGAATAATACTCCTACTATGTACTCCTATGTACCGAATAGTGGGTTTTGTTTTTTGCCCAGTATTACTACTTAAAAGAAGAAGTTTCCTAAAACCTTTAAGGGGTAGTGAATTAGCTAAGTCTATTTTGTCAGATGCATTGAATGGTCACCTAAGCAAGGAAGAACGTATCACCTGATGATTTTGGCATTTTAAATTCACAAATTGAAGCCAAAATAATAAAGCCAAGCAAGAAGAGAAATGTGTATCTTGCAACGCTTAAATAAATGCATACCTGGTTCTTGAAAGGTTTCTTTTTAAATATCCTAATTCTGTTAAGAACAATGGCACAGTGGCTGTGTTCACCAGTACTTAGACCAAATGAGGGCAGACATACTGATTCAGGTACTCCAGAAGTAGGAATGCCATCTTCAGTTCTTCTTACCATCCTTCAATATCTGTGGACTATTGTAGCTGTAAAGGCAAGATAAATTGATAGGTGAAGCTATTTCTGGTGGAGATAGACTGCGAACTAGTTTAACTTATACCTGTTACAAACAGGTGCTAGAGTCCTGCTAAGGTAAATAGTAGCAACAATCTGAAAACCATGGGATTTAATTCATAATGGTGAAACAGAAGGATGCTGCATTTGAATAAGACTGAGAGCTGTGAGCCACTTCTGTAATTCAATACTTACTGAACTTTGAATGTATCAAGTTTAGCTACAGATGAAGGTTGGTGGGATCTGAGCTAGCAGCAGCTGACTATGAAAGAGATCTTGGTGCTATGGTGGACTGTACAATTAAAATGTGGGAGTGCAGTGTGGCTGCTGCAAAAAAGATAAATTCCATATTAGATATAATTAGAGAAGAAACTGAAAATAAAATTGCAGATACCATAGTGCCCTTATACAAACATACATACAGTAGAACCATATTTGGTATTGCAGATGTATACACTTTGGGTTACTGCATCTAAAAAGGTTATTGTACAGTTAGGAAAAAGGAAACTAAAAGCTCACCTCCCACCTTTTTAATGATTTGTCTGAAGGATCAATACAGACTAAGAAATGAAATTGGTAACCTAACTTGTTCAAACATTAGACCTTGTTTCTATTTTGAAAATGTATGGTTGGTTGCCATTTACCCTTGGTAGAATTTGCCAGCACTGCTGCGGATATGGTTTGCATATGTCTGTTATTTGTATATAACTGGTATTATCACTATGCAACCTATTAACCAAATTAACCATAAACAATTTTGGCTTCACACAATTGAATGAATTAATAAAAGACATAAACAAATGTACAGAATGGACATACCTCTTTGCAGGAAAGCTCTGTTATTAAATGTCTGTAAAATTCATTATAAAGACTGACATGTATATAAATGGTGTAACTTTTAAATCAGAAAGTCAACACTTTAGAAATTGCTTTTAATTTCAATCAGAAAGTCAGCACCTCAAAAATCAGAAGAGGGGTTGTTACTGAATGTGCTCCTTCTAGATACATGTACATCCATTAAAAAAAATAGGCTTTGGGAGTGAAACCCCAAACAATCTGCACATACACAAGCATTTTCAAACAATTATTTATTGTTTGAATTATTTATTAAGCTTAAATGAGAAGAAAATCATTACTGTACAGAAAATTGGTTGAGTAAAGTTAATACACCATGAAAGACTGTAACAAGAACTTGGATTGTGGAACCAGTTCTTGGGAACCAGCTTTCAGAGGTATACTGTCTTTCTGCTTGATTAGGAAGGAGTATGAGGACTTGGAGATTTGATAAATCAGAGTCCCTAGTAATAGATAAATAAATAGAAGAGGAGAAGGGGTTTATCCAAGGTAAACACACTGATTGGGTTTGCAGTACATGGAACCCATCATGTGTAACTAGCTACTGAGAGTTGTTGCGTCATGTGAACCTGAATTTTTTGAGCAACGAATCAGCTTGCCAACCCATCCCTTTTTCTAGGAGTAGTACCCTCAATGCATTGTTGCATCATCCAACCCAAGGTGACTGACCGCATTGTGGGTACAGTGAAGTCACTCAGTGACTGGGTCACTCAGCAACAGTAGTAACCACCCTTGTCACTCTAGCTGAGATCCCCTCCAGCCATTACTAAAGATAGCCACTCCAGTAAGTGTCCAAATGGCCCTTTGGTGGAACCATCATTGAGTTGGTCTTCCTGCAGTTGCCACAACATTTTTTCCATCTTATCTTTCTTCTTTGAGGATTGCTTTTTTTGAAATCTCTGCAGTCACTGACAGCCCTTTCAAAGTGTCTTTGCAGGAGACACTTGGAGGAGTTGTCACTAGTTCTCCAGTCATGTTGTTGTTTTATGCACCCAGAATTTGTGCAAATGGTTCCACTGTTTCTCATGGCTTTTGGTCAGTATTTTGAAATTGCACAAGTGCACAACTCTGACTATCTTAAATGTTCAGCCTTACCTTGTTAAAGTATAGGAGGCATCATGCATTGACATTGAAAAAGAAGTACTACAAAGAAGTTAATTTGTTGCTTTGCTTCTTATTGATCAGTGGTCAAATGCTGAGCTGTCAAGTGGAAAGGTAGAGGAATACCAAGTAAGGGGATTTTTTGCTGTTTGAAAAGGAGTCAGCAAGATCCTTTAGTTATTTTGATTTTGTTTTGGAACCTGAGTGTTCTCTCAATGTCTTCCACATTTTCTACTCTTTCCCAAGATTCTAGGTGCTCAGGAGTTTTGACAAATGCAAGCAATTCCATTTCTTCTGTATAGCTTTTAACATGAGGTTTTTAACAGGGCTAATCGGTTTCTTTGGGACAGGGACATAATGCAGCCATTAAATCTGTATATGTCCCTGTCAAAAAAGTAAGCCTGTGTTTTTAAAGCTGTCAGTATCCATGAATGGTGCACACTTGCACAATTCAGAACTGCCAACATTTAAAAAACAAAAATTTGTTCAACAATTGTGCAAATAATTAAAAATAAAATGGATGACCAGGTAATATCAGCTGCCTCAATGTCCTGCTTACACACTTTGAACTTGCTGTCATGAAATGGAGATCATGAAAAGTGACCCCCCCCCCCAAAAAAAGTAAAAGTGGGGAAAGACACAGTGACTACACAAGGGGTCATGGCCACTTTTAGGAAGAGAAGACAAGAGAGACCTTCTCATGTATTCCCCTGGGTTACCTATGGGAGAATTGGGGGGGGGCACCTGCTTGTCTGTTGGGCACACCATGAATTTTCCATGAACAAGCAACACTGTGTAGCTTATATGCAGGATGGGTTGTCACGTTGTCTGAATGTGACCATTCTCATTCACTTTTCTAATGCTTCCCATTTTGGGTATGCAATATACTTTCGTTTATCCTGTAGTTGCAATAAAGATACCTGCTCATTGATCGGTGAGCAGAGTGTGTGTTCTGAAAATGTATGATCGTTTCAAGAAGGAATAAGGTATAATATCGCCATCAGTTCTCCTCCTCTACTGAGATAAAACCTAAATATGTGTAACAAAAGTAGCATGAGGGCAAAGGGCTGGAAGCTGAATGAGACGTTTCTGTGTTTGATCAAAGGCAGGCAGTAGAGAACATATGACCCTCTACAATTCTAGCCTCCACCCATATACCCTGCTTTGTTTTGTTGCTGTGTAAGTGTGGGTGTTCGGAGTGACCTCGCCCACATATCAAATGCTATGCATGGATCCACATGCTTTACTTGTTCAATATTCCTAGGATTTTTTCTCTTAGACAAGCTTACAAAATCCATATTGGACCTTATATAAGTGCCTGACTGTGATTACTGTAACCATCTATTTCCCCATACATGGATAATATGTACTTCAATTTCTGTTCAATAAAATTACCGCCTTTGTTTTGGAATAGCCCTCTGTGTGTGCATACATGTTCCCATTGGAATAAATTTCCCTAGGTCTGTTATGACTGACGTTGCAAGAGCTCTTAGGTATGTGTGTCTCTGAATGTGGATACGGGCTTGCACTTGCTTAGAGAAGGCAGTCTTACCAACGTATCAATTTAAACTCCAAAGACATGGGGAGTG